CTCTCTCTCTCTCTCTCTCTCTCTCTCTCTCTCTCTCTCTCTCTCTCTCTCTCTCTCTCTCTCTCCTTTCCTCTGCTCTCCTTTCTCTTCTCTCTTTCTCTCTCTCTCCCTCTCTCTCTCTCTCCCTCTCTTCTCTCCTGTCGGCGCGTTGCCGAACTCAACCGCGCGTCTCGTAGTCTTTAGTCGAGTTACCAAAGGGAAAGGAAGGAAGGCCAGCGCGCCGGCTGCGCCCAAAGCATTATTAATTAAACGCGACACCGGCCCACTCACCTATGACCTCCATGCTCCCCTCGCCGTTAACAGAGTGGAAGTTGGGCGCCTCTGCGCTAACTTCGCACTTGTATTTGCCGCTGGTGTGGAGATTCGTATCCTGCAGCACCACCTTGTCGCGATCCGACTTTCGATACTGAAACAGCAAGAGTACGCGCGTTTCATTAAGGGCAGTGTATATGTGTGTGTGTATGTCTGTGTGTGCGCGCCACAGTTTGTCGCACGAACAAGCATTGCAGAGAGGGATTGTTGGGAAACAGGAGGCGCAACGCTGACCAGGAAGTTACCGGATATCGCTCTACGAAGGGAATTTATTTGCGTTTCTATTCCCTAAACCACTTTTTTACAAGCGTAGCTTCGTCGCGTGCTAATATATGGAGCCGCCACGGAGCGGGACGGGACGATGGAGGTTTGGAAGTACCGTAAATGAAGATAAATTGTGTTAAAACTGAATGAAGAATGATACAATCGGGGGTTGAGGAGGCGAAGGGGACGTTCGCGCCGAGCACGAAGTGGCGAGGAGGAGGGGACGGACGAGTGAAACGGACTCGCCGCGATTCTTCCGCGCTATTTGACAGCGTTTAGTCTCGGGGCTATAATAATTCGTTCCATTACGGTGAAGCGGACGATGGGGCGACGGGGTGGGACATCGACTTTACGAGTCATTTCGTTTTTAGAGCAGTGAATCGTGCCAGCGCAGTTATGTCGTTACAAATGGCGGTCGCAGATCGCGCGTGATTACCGGGCGTAAAAGCTGTTTTCTTTTTGCTTACGAGTTTGCCACTGCTCGCGACTTCGAGCGGCTCTCACGCTCGCGTACGTTCTTTTTTCCTCCCTTTCTTCATTTTATTATCTTAAAGCGCTCGTTCATTATACTCCACTTGAAGAGCTATGCGCCATCGGGGAGGGAAAGATTAATCAGTTCGAGAGTTGCACTATAAAAGTGCGGTATACGTTTAAGAATTAAAAATCTGTCCGCGCGCGCGCGCACGGGATATATCTCCGGCGTAATTAAACGTGTTCACGCAGCTATATTAATATTTTGTGCGAAAAGGCTCTCTCTCTCTCTCTCTCTCTCTCTCTCTCTCGTGCGTGCGTGCGTGCGTGCGCTGGCAAGGCAGCTATGCGAACCATGCGTTGAAAAGTTTTTGTACTGTTTTACATTCTGTCAAGTTCGCGTACGAACAGAAATGACATCGCGCGCGAACGGTCTTTTTCTTCCGCCGTGTCGACTCCCAAATGCAATGGGAAATTTCTCAAATAGAGGAAAAATGAGAGCCGCGCTTACACGAGCGAGGTTTACCGGGATAAAGCGAAACTGACGAAAATCGATACTGGCTACGATATCGATGCAGGTCGCTACGCGAGCATCGAGACGATATCTCCTTGCCTTAGAGTAATTCCGAGACAACTTTTAATGGATTGACCTGCTACGCTATTACATTGCATCAATTATCGCGCGGTACCGGAATTAAATTACGTCTTAGGGGAGCGAAAAGCTGCGCGTTTTCGAAACTAATTTCGCCCATCTACATCCGGAGGGTAAATATGGAAATCGATTTTATACGGAACGATCCGCGGCTGGCACTCGGGCCATACATAAAGAAATATATATGCGCACTTAAACGAGCGGGCAAATATACGTGCTTATTCCATTTATAACGAGATATATATGCGCGCTATATCTCACCGGCTGTGAGCTGGTCCGTAGTAGGTCGGTGCAACGAGTTTAAGAATTATGCGGCGGGGAGAAGCGAGTCTTTGGGTGCTCACGAGGCAGAAAATTGGAACACTTCTTTTGCTATTCGAGCTTATGGAAAGTACACTGCGGATACGTTCACTATGACAACTCCCACGGTTTCGTAACAAAACTGGGAAACTTTTGCGCCGCCGCGAGTCAGTTTTTCTTGCCCCCGAGATGAATTTTTGCGAAATAATTACGCGATATTCCGGGTAATTTTTAGATAATAATGTCCCCGCCGGGTAATAAGTTGTCGGGAAATTTCGTTTAGATGGAGAAATCTAATTTTCGTGTCTCGCGCGTCGTTCCATGCGAGATCCTATTTGTTAAAAAGGCTCCGAAATTTGCACACGCACGCTTTTCCCGCAAACTACTCTCTTTCCATCTCTCTCTCTCTCTCCCTCTCAGTATTCATAGTCGGATCTTGTGCTTAAGATCGTCTCTGGTTCACCTTCATATTGTGCGGGCCGTTTCATTGGCTAGGAAATGTCTGAAAGTAAACTTAAGACGATCTGAAATATAAGATCCGACTGTGAATACCGTCCTTTATCTCTCCTTTTCTCTCCGTTGATTATTTTGCAATACTTGAGTCCTGAGAGGGTTTACCTCAGGATTATCAATAAACGCTGCCCCATTCACTCGATCGTAACAGCGGCAAATTTCTGTTGCATTCGGACGTGCCTCTACGTTTTCCCAAGTATTCGTAAAAATGAGTCCGGACATGCTGCGGATCGGTATCGTGTGTAACGTGCACTTAATCCCGTCCTTACCTTACGAGCGTTAAATATTTAACGCGAACGCGATCGCGGAGCTCTATGTGCGGGGTCGAAAGAGAGAGGAATGTACGTCGTGCGGAGCAACGGTGGGAAAGATAAACGCTACTGCCGATAGAGAGGCATCGCGCGCGGGCCACCCCCGATGCGGGAGAAATCCGTGTGTGTGTGTGGTAGCCGAAGGTGGTGTCCGAAAACTTTGCAGGAAATACCTTTTCGCGGGCGCTCGCGATAAAACTTCGCGCCGGCAACCGTGAGGAAGTGGGTAAGCAATGTCTTTCACGTGGATCTACCAAACAGCTTCGAAGATAGTGAAAGCGTTAAAAGACGCTATAAATTCGAAAGCGATACGAGGCGATATTGTGCTGTAAATAAAATGGATCGTCCGCTGCACCGGGAGTGTCGAGACAGATAGAGAGAGAGAGAGACAGAGAGAGAGAGAGAGAGAGAGAGAGAGAGAGAGAGAGAGAGAGAGAGAGAG